TCAGGAAAATATGTTTCTCAAGTCCATAGCTGTTATCAGGCTTTCCAGTATTGATGAGGGTTTCCTTCCTAACCTTTTATTTGAAGTAGTGACGTATATCAACATCTTGATTGTTATAATTTTCACTTCAATTTTTTTTTAATCATTTCACCCCTAAGCAAGGCGGTAATGCTAAAATCACGCAGCGGGTTACAGGGAATGAAAGCGAAAGAGAAGATTGAGAATTGGGAGGATTAAGGAAAGAACAAAGACATGAACAGGATTCAAGAAGACATAAGACGGCGATTGGCGTTGCATTTAATTTTCTGAAAATTTTGGTTATCAGGAAAGTAAGGAAACTGAAGCGAGTTCCACAATTGGAAAACGCGAGAAAAGAAACTGTTGGAATAGAAGTGGCGGTTGCATTTAGCTATTTCAACAGTGAAAGGCTGAGACCTAGCTGCCAATCCAGTAGCATCCTTAAATTCATGTATTCGGAGCACAAAGGATAAAAGAGCTGTTGCTTTGAAAATATTTGTAGAAAAGACAGAGGGAAGCCGCATCACGTCGGTGAGAATGTGACTGAAGTCGAGATGCCAAGTCAGGATTGATTAGATTGCAGATAATTCTTTGGATTTTGTCAATAATCTCGAGATGTACAAAAGGAGCACGATTTATGTTCTATTCATTTCACCCCTTGCTGCTTCTGAAAGTTCTCAACAGATGTTCTTTTTTGTTTTGTTGTTTGGTACAGATTTTTTTTTTTTTTTTTTTTGATGGTGTAATGCCAGCCCAAAAGTTTGGAAGTACCATTATCTTACCCAAGAACATTTTCTTCTCTCTGTCAAAGTCATTTTTAACCATTGATTTTAGAAATTGAATACAGCTGACAGTTTAGATATTTCTGAACGGGTTTGGCTCCATGGATGGCAGCTATATGAAAGTCTCGCTCTAACGAGGCCAGTTAAGGACATGACGTGTTTTCATGTTAATGTTTTGGTTTTGTATGAATTTATAATAAAACTACTTCAACCATAACCTATTTTATGTTCAATTTCTATATTAAAAGTACACTAATTTGCGAAATACTCTATGGTAGATTTACATTCAGGATTGTACAATATGGTCTTTCTTCACAAAATTATTAATCTACAGTGTGGGATAGTTAACAGTAATAATAAAAGTGATAAAAACGATAGCAAAAAGCTAAAATAAGAAGGCTAAAGTTTAAAATGTTGATACATCGTCAAAATTTAAATATTGAGGTCGAGCGTCTCCAAATTTTTGACGTTTAAATTGGGTTTGGGTTACTGGGCGTGGAAGAGTCAGAAACAAAATCATTGCTAAGGAGCAGAAAACAAGAGTAATCAGGAGGACAGCAGATAGCGATTGACATTACATTTAGATTTTTGGAAAGCCTGGAGCCGAAAGAGTGTTCCACATGCGAGAAATGCGAGAAAAAAATCACTTACCATAGAATTTACGGTTACATCCAGCCAACTCAATTGTAAACTGATGAGACTTCGTTGCCAGTCTAGTGCTGCGCTTAAATTCAAATAGTCCAGACACCATAGCGAACGTCTCATCCGAACAATGACCATGAAAGTGTTTATAGAAAAGACACAGGGAGGCAAGCTTACGGCTGTAGCAAAGTGACTGAAGCCAAGACTCCAGAACAGGGCCAACAATATTGCTGATGTTGGATTTTATCAAGGCACTCAAGGTAAATAGCAGGGGAACCGGACCAGATGTGTCAGCAATATTTTAAGCATGGACGAATTGTAGACTTATAGATATGTAAGATAGATTCTTGAGAGAAACATTGTCTAGCACGACACAGTGAACCAACTGTTTTAGCAGCTGATCTAGCAATGGATTCAACGTAGTCTTTCAACCTCATGTCAGCTGAGAACGTTAACACGAGGAGGCGCAACGAGTCACTCTCCTGGAGGTCGGCATCAGCCATGATGTCACTAGATTTTATTGTTTTAATTACCGTATTTTCCGGCTTGCAAGATGCTGCGGCTTGGAAAACGTCCCCTAATATTTAAAGAAATTAAAAAAAAAAAAAAGTCATTCTCATACAACAACATATTCATCATGCGTCCCTCACATACTGGCGCCACGTATTGCTTACATTAATCACTCGTCCGATTTTGTTTGTATGGCAATGACATACTAGTCAAGAGCAGAAAGGCTTCCACCGCTGCTAGTAAACAGAGCATGTTTAAGCTTGTGACTCGGCTCCAGGAAGGTATATAGTCTTGGAAATATTTGTACTGAGGTTATATCATATAAAAGTCTGAATTATATAGAAACCTATCATTATAGTGTAATGACTCAACATACAAATTAAAGTTCTTATTAGTCAAGCTAATTAGGTGACCGTCCAAGCTTACTTAAGCCTGGGCATAGCCTTACATTCGTCTTGGAAGGAGCATACGTATTTTTCCGGGTATTTTTTAAGAAAGAAAAAGCGTCTTGTAAGCCGGAAAATACAGTATGGGTTCATTTAGAAGGTAAAAGATCATGGCTCTCCATAAATTCTTTTTCTTTACTATCGGTAACTATTTTTTACACTATTTTTTATGAATGACAGTGAAATGGTTTCCGCTGCCTCCTGAGTATTAACTTGCTATTTACTTCCACATGTATAGGGAGGAAAAGAGATAGATGCATACCTTTCTCAAAGGAATAAAGAAAAATTGAACGTAAAAGACGTGGCCAGAATTTGATCTCGGATCGTTAGTGATACTCTCAACGCTGGCGTCACTAGATTTTATATATCTCTCACAAATAGTTTCCCAACGCCGGTACATATCGATAATCTTATAAACTGCGTGAGTTTGTGTTTGATACGGAAGATAGTGAAGGAAAACGAGAAGAAAGGACTATGCATCAACTGTAAGAAAGACAGAATATGTAGTTGTCGGAAAAAAAGAAACACCAAAACATGTGAATTACGAATTAGAGATACCAAAATCAAGCAAGCAGACAAAAATAAAATATCAAGGAAGTGCTTTAGCGGAGAACCGGAAATGCGGCCTCGAAATCCGAAGTCGAATTGGGATAGCGAAAGATGTCATCCAAAAGATAAGTATTAAGAAACCGAAAAATGTCATTGGGAAACAAGAATATTTAATATCAGTTCTCTTCAGTATCTGTCTATATTTCTGAAATGAGGTATTATGTCCTTATATTTGTCGCCATAGTTATTATTACAACGTTTCGACCATTGTACGCTCCAGCCTTCTTAAGGTGTTTGGAATGTCGAACTTGAACCCTTTATTTCGCCCACTGTGCCATGTTTAATGGATGTCAGTTAACAGTTATCCCCTACTCCAGGTTCTCAACTGCCTTAACCGGGTATTGAACTCACATTCTTTGGTTCATTTGGTTCATCTAAACAACGCCTTTATCCACTGTGCCAAGTGTCCTTGAGGATATCTGTATATGAATTTCTGGCTATTATAAACCTAATGTCTTCATAACCATTTTTACCAGTGCTCATATTGCAATTGTTTTTCTTTTCGTTGTTATCATTCATGTTTTTACCAGAGCTCATATTGCAACTTTTGTTGTTATTATTATCGATTTTTCTATTATTGCACTCCTTATTACTTGTTCCCATATCGTATTCATTTCTATGCTTGGTCGGCTCAGGAGATTTTTGTGGCCTAGCATATGTGCTGATTCCTTAAGTTTACAAATTTTCCAATGGTGTTCTTTGTCTATGATCTCAACCTGATCCCACAGAGGGCGGTTCTCTTATATGACAGTGAATGCCGGACGCCCTCATCACAGATGGAGAAGAGACTCGAGGCAATAGAATATGGTTCTACAGAAGGATGTTGTGAATACTATGGACTGAACACCTGAGCAGTGATGAATCTTGGGAGAAAATGGAAACAAAAAGGACAGATACGAGCAAACAGAAAGAGATATGAAATTTTTAGGCATCATAATGAGGAAAGGGCTTGAAAAATATGACACTCACAGGTCATATTGCAAGCAAGAGGAACAGAGGAAAGCAACTCATAACCTATTTAAAAAGCTTCTGTAAATGGCTGGGAGGACAGTGGTTAGGAGATATACATATAGCAAAAAAAAAAAACTTTACTAAGGAAATTGTGGAGGGTTATAATCACCCATGTCATGAAGAGATGTGACACAAAGAAGAATAGTTTTTTATACTTTCCGTTTTGTTGCTGATCTTATTCTGATTTCGCTTTTGAAGTCTTGTGAGTTTCTTGTTTTTATGTTAATTGATCATTTTAAATGTCACCTCGCGCATCGCTTTCTCCCTCAATGGTTTTGTTGATCAGTCTTTCTGCTCATATCACGAATCCAGTCTATTCGCTGTCTGCAAAATGCTCATTTACCAGTTAATCTACCGATTTTCAAGATCGCTTCTTTGGGAAAGTATTTGTTGAAAGCTGAGCAATTGGAAGCGTTTCCAATTAGCATTTATTTTGTATCTTGAATTTCCACTTGATATTCTTATTGCAATGTTCAATTTATCTATTTCGTTCCTTTTGGAGGGGATGAGAGGGGGGTCATTGATACACTCTGTCTGTGTGTCTGTTTCTCTCTCTCTCTCCTCTCTCTCTCTCTCTCTCTCTCTATATATATATATATATATATATATATATATATATATATATATATAGATGACGATATTGAGGAAATTATAAGACAAAATGGAAAAGTTTATTTTTGACGTGCTTCATCCAAATATGGACTTCAACGAACCCAATCCGATGAAATCCTAACGGATGAAACGCGTCGCAAATAAACTTTTTTCTCATTTTGTCTAACAATTTCCTGAATATATATATATATATATATATATATATATATATATATATATATATATATATATATATATATATATATATACAAGTGTTGCAGCAAAATTCGACACTTGACAAAACGAAAACAAATAATAAAAAAAAAAATTAATATGCAGATACCCGATAGTTTGACAACTAACTAACGTTTTTCTCTCTACCCTTTTCTAGGAGGGCATATGAGAGCAGAGCAGCGGTAATAGCTTCTTTTCGCGTCGGGAAAGAGCCTGCGGAAATGATGGCCCGGTTTTGGTTCAAGAGAACCATGATAATGCATATTCGGAGGAAGTGGAAGGTGTGTGAGAACAAGAACGAGTTTACTGCCAAACGAAAGGCCCACAACGTTCGTTCTTCGGCCGTTAGGACCGAGGGAGTTCGTCGCCGCTATCAAGGGAGACCGTCGACAATGACCAATGGGCTGTCACAAGTCGACGATCTGCCGAACGATCAAGAAGGACATTGGTTACTGCTCCTACCGCAAATTTCACCGCATGCTCATCACGATGCCTCTAAGGAGTCCAGGAAGGTCAAGGCGCCGGCTTTGCTGAAGGAGCTCAAACACGGGTAGGACGGGATGCTGAGGTTCTCCTCAGATTAAAAGAATGTCATCCAGGACCAGACGAGCAACAGGTAGAACGCCAGGTAGATCTGCAAAGACATCGAGGATGTTCCCGTCGTGAAGCATGCGAAGTTTCCCTCCTCCGTCATGGTCCTTGGCGTCATTTCCAGAGAAGGGGACGTCATGCCTCTTTTCTTCTTTCAAAAGGGCCCGAGAGTCACCGCTGAGATCTACTAGGAGGGGCTGAGGAGCGTGGTGAAACCCTGGATGGACGAGATCGCCGCCGGATGCCCCTACGTCTTCCAGCAGGACTCCACTCCTGCACACAAGGGCAAAACAACCCAGGCGTGGCTGCTCAACAATATTCCTCACCACTGGTCGCCGGACATGTGGCCGCCCTTCTCCCCGGACTGCAACCCCCTTGACTATTTCTTCTGGGGTGTGATTGAGGCAAGACCAACAAGAACGCCCACAACACGGTCGACTCTCTGAAATCTGCTATCGTGGAGGCGTTTGCCGCTACGGACAAGCACATCGTCGTCAAAGCGTGTGACTCATTTCGCGCCCGCCTTGAGATGGTCGTCGCTGGTGGCGGTGATTACATTGAAAAATAATGTAGTATGTAACTCTAACTGTTGCTAAATAAACTGTCGGGTCTCTGCATATACAACTTTTGTTTTTATTGCCTATTTCGTTTTCTTTTTGTCAAGTATCGGATTTTGCTGCAACACCCTGTACAGGTAAGATGAGAACGAATAGAGTACAATTCCAACTTTCGTAACATTTAATTTAAAAGAGGGCTCAATACGAAGTAGAGCAATGTTATTTATTTTAGTATATTTCACTGAAAATATGTGAAAATCGTTACACAAATGCAGTCTTTTTTCGATGCGTATCAATGCATCTCATCAGTCAGTGTTGCCGTTAGCGGCCAATCTACGGTTCATGACCCATTTATAAAAAAGAAAATTAATTTTTGCTTAGTTTAAATTTAACGTAGCTCATATTAGATCGGTTGATAAGAGTAAAGCCCACAAACCTTATTAATTGCTTCGATTTGCGAGTTGAAGAATGCGCTAATTCTATAAATCTGCTAACATTACACCAGAAAAATCAAAGACTGGGATCTCCTGAAGGAATCCGTCCTGGGCATGACAATAAACTACATCCGTGTCCAGGGTAAGACGATAAACTACATCCGAGGGCTGGGCCTCTTATCAGGAGGTTTTGAGGAGCGGGGAACCACCTGTTGATTGTTGGTGTTCCCAGGTTCACCCTGACCCGGGGTGGTAGCACTTATTGGGGTTCCCGCTATGGACAGATGGTTAATTCCTAGACTGGAGCGCCATGAAAATGTAAAAATAGCTGTTAATACCAGCAAGAAATGTTTTGAGGAAAAATTATTACCAGCAATAGTTTTTTGAAGAAAAAAAGAAAGTAATACCAGCAATACATTTTTTAAACAAAATATTACCAGGAATAAAAATCTTATCGGCATTAAATAACTATTCTGGGGGCCTACCTACAAATGGACTCTCCCACACCTATATAATATGGCTACCAACTCTGAGTAAAGGGAGTTACCAAGTGAGGGTCACCCAGTAGTAGCCATAGAATGAATGAATGAATGAATGAGTGAGTGAATGAATGAATGAGTCAGGACACCAGTGAAAGAAAGTACTCTCCTGTCAACATTTACCTTTGTACTAAGTTTCCGTGAATATACTATTTAACCTTATATCCGAGTCCGTGTTATCTTTCTATGGTTTTATACCATAACAATAACCAACTGAGGTTGATATGCCGTAAGACAATCCAAACCAAAGCAATATATTTTCGAAAAAAATATTACCAGCGATACATTTTTTGAAAAAAATATTACCAGCACTAGATTTTTGGAAAAAAAATGTTACCAGCAATAGATTTTTGGAAAAAAATATTACCAGCAATAGATTTTTAGAAAAAATATATTACCAGCAATAGATTTTTGGAAAAAAAATATTACCGGCAATAGATTTTTGGAAAAACATATTGCCAGCAATAAAAATCTTATCGGCATTAAATAACCAACTGAGGTTGATATGCCGTAAAACAAACCAAACCAAAGCAATATATTCTCGAAAAAATATTACCAGCGATACATTGTTTTGAAAAAAATATTACCAGCAATAGATTTTTGGAAAAAAATATTACCAGCAATAGATTTTTTGGAAAAAAATATTGCCAGCAATAAAAATCTTATCGGCATTAAATAACCAACGGAGGTTGATATGTCGTAAAACAAACCAAACCAAAGCAACCTGAAGGGCTTTATAATTAACTCCAGTGTTAAAAAAAAAAAAAGACCTGATGGATCGTTTGGCAACGATTCTCATGGATGAATTGAGAAATCTTTCCCATTTGTTATTTATTGATATTTTTCTATGATTTGGTAGCGATTACTCACGCTGACGTTTATTGTCCTGACCCGACACTTCTACCCACACTGAAACGCACGCACATGTGCCATTCTGAAATCTGTTCTCTGCTTAAAGAATGTTCGCCAAAGGTCTGCTGAAGCATTTTCATTATTTTGATTTCCGACTTGTCGAGCTTCTCACAATATTCGATGCAAGCGTATTGTTCGAATCGTAAAGATCACAAAATTGTTCTAAAACAGCGTTACATAAGTTCTCCTAACAACTGAATCCAAGTAAATAACACGAAACCTACTAGCAGAATGACCTCGGTACTGAGTGTTTCCATTCAACGTCATATTCACTGTACGAACAATTCAGTAATTTCCCGTCACCTCATTTTAATATGCTGTACAGTAAAGCCTCGAATTAAAGAAATAAGCATAGGAGGGGGAATGTCTTTCTTAAATCCGATAAAACTCTCGTTTCGTAAAGAAAAGAAAAAAACAAGATCACCGCATTTAATGAACATCTTCTTAAAACCAACACAGTCAACACGCAAATGATCAACACGCAAATATCAAATAGAAAAATCGTACATAACTTTTTTCTTCATATTAAGAGTACTATTGGAAGTGACGCTGTAGATCTAATCTGAACTGAAAATTCCATTATATTCATAACCGTGGCTTTAAAAAAAAAAAAGACATGTATGCTCATGAAAAAGACAATATCTTGTCAAAATCTTGCCCGTAATCTTTGGCGAAAATTCGAAAATTCAACACGACAAATAAAGAGAATAGGAACCAGTTCGGAATCCCATTTCTTAAGGATCATTACAGGAATAACATCAAGTTCACATGCATTGTGGGGATCCAGATTAAAGATGATAGCGGAAACTATATATAATTTCTTAAGTATATTTTTTAATTTATTACTTCGAGAGATTTTAATACTCATTATTTTTAGTGAGTGCCTATATGTGAGTAGACAAGTTCTATCAAATGTAGGGAAAAAATTATATCAAAAACAAAATTAATGACATCACAGAGTGACGCATTAAGACATGGTACTTTAAAAAGCGACATGACGTCTGAAACGCATTTTTTTAAAATATGAAACTAGCATAACACACAAAAACTCAAAGCTTAAATATAGTCACAACCTTATAAACAATAACTGTGTGATGAGGTCTTATGAAAGCAAAGAGTGCACCGACATTGGATAATTTATATTTACGTACTAGAAAACAGTGAGAGTGTTCGGAATATAGAAAAATTAAACAAAACTCTGTAATCATGAGCTTTATCCAAACCTGTATAAAGAAAATATTGCTATCCAAATACACTGATATAGAGAGTTTAAGGATAATTTATCGGCGAAATATCCAGCTTTATCAGCAGAAGAGGCTAACATCTCAAATCGAATTAAAGAAGTAACGATGGGAGGAGGAATAGTCTTTCTTAAATCTCTAATCTGAATTGAAAATTACATTGTATTTATAACCATGGCTTAAAAAAAAAGACAGGAATGCTCATGAAAAAGAAAATATGTCAAAATCTTGTCCGTAATCGTTGGCGAAAATTCGAAAATTCCACAAGGCAAATAGATGAACAGGAGCCAGTTCAGGAGCACATTTCTTAATGACTATTAAAGAGATACCATCATGTCTACATGCTTTGTAGAAATTAAGATCAGAAATGATAGCAAAAACAATAGGAGTTATATGCATGTCACTCAACTGGGACTCGGTTCTAAGTGAGCTGTAAGGCAAGAATACTCCAGATGTGTCAAGAGTAGAGTTTAAGGAGAATTTATAGGTGAAACATTCAGCTTTATTAGCGGGAGATGTTAACACCACAAATCGATTGAAGAGAGAAGGAATAGATACCGTGCTCCCATTTAATGTACAGCCGCCTGTAATCATGAGAGCTAAATTTGTTGGATGCAATACAGTGCCTCATTCTCTCGGCAAACAGACACTTAGCCCCTTCGAGGACAAATTTACATTTATTACGTGCAACCACGAATAGGTGTTTGCTGTGATGGGAACTGATACGCTGGTATAGCCGGAAATAGTGCTCCCTGTGCGCTGTAGCAGCAGAGAATTCAGCTTTGAACCATGGAGAAGATTGAGGTTTCACCTGATATTTCTGTGAGGGAATGAAAGTATCTATTCGTCTTTAACCAAAGAGAAAACCTCAGTGGCGCAATTCTCAATATGAATGTTAAAAATGTCAGTCCAAGGGGAGTCTCGAAGAAAGTCACGAGGTGAATCCCAATCAGCATGCTGGTAACGGGAAGAGGTCTAATGAATAGGAGGTTCCTGTCTAATAGATGATTAGAACGAGATATCTACAGATACTATAGCTTGAGAGAACAGTGATGTGAAGGTCAACAAGAGCGAGGAGAGGAGGTAAGGAACAAATCAAGTCAAGAAGAATGTTACTCAGATTTATTATGGAAACGAGTAGAGAAATCTTTGTTTGAGTAAGAGACTGAACAACAGGAAAATTGAAAATATTAATACCAGCAGCATCAGTAACATTAGGATGTTTCAATTATTTAAAAAAAATTGCCTTTCTTTAGACTTTCGATTGCCAAGCCGGTAGA